ATGCAAACGGCAGTCAATCAATGATTCTTTCTCATCATTGATGTTTCTCTCTCTCTCCCTCTCCCTTCTTCTCTCTGAAATCAATAAAAACATATCTTAAAATGGGGGGAAAAAAGAGTTCATGGTATAGGAATTTGCTTTATAGAAGGCTTAACTTGAATATAACTATTCTGTATGTCAAAGTTCACTTGTATTTGTAAGAGGTGGGTATAGCAATCTATCCTAGTGCTATTCTAGTTATCTAGTACCAGCCCAAAGTAGTGACAATGGCAGTGTCTTTTATGAATAACAAAAATGGATAGTCCAACCTTCTAATATTTGTAAAGATTAAATACAAATCAAAAGTCAATTCTTGCCCTAATCCAAAAATATAGCACATTTACAAAGATACTGTTACTCTAAAACAGGGTTGGGACCTTTTTCTGCCAAGGGTCATTTGGATATTTATAACATCATTCACAGGCCATACAGAATTGTCAACTTAAAAATTAGCCTGTTATATTTGGTCAAACATTTAATTAACTTACTCATAATAACTTGGCAGGGCCAGACCAAATGATTTCATGGGCCATGTGGCCCATGGGCAGGCCATTCCACAGCCCTGCTCTAACGGTATGATTAATGCCTTATAAAAAAGACATAGAAAGTTGACACCATACTGAAATTTGGAGAGTCTATCCATGCAATTAGCTTTTTTCCCTCTCATTTATTTATTTTTATTTCTATTTTTTTGTTTTATTGCTTAAAATATTGCAAAGAGTAGTACATATGTCTCCTTTTTTTTCCCCCTTGACCTTCCCCCGGCCTCCCCTGGCCTCCAGTGTCTTGTGTCCATTGGTTATGCTTATATGCATGCATACAAGTCCTTCGGTTGATCTCTTACCTCCCTCGCCCCCAACCCTCCCAGCCTTCCCGCCGTAGTTTGACAGTCTGTTCGATGCTGCTTTGCCTCTGTATCTATTTTTGTTCATCAGTTTATAATGGTCTTTATTATCCATAAATGAGTGAGATCATGTGGTATTTTTCTTTCATTGACTGGCTTATTTCACTTAGCATAATGCTCTCCAGTTCCATCCATGCTGTTGCAAATGGTAAGAATTCCTTTTTTTACAGCAGCATAGTATTCCATTGTGCAGATGTACCACCATGCAATTAGCTTTTATGTCTTTCTTAAAATACAGGAGACAATCATTCATAATTAAATTAGCAAGAAATAACCGCTATTATTATTTTGGTACATTTCTTCTAGTATTATTTTGGCATATTTCTTCCAATCTTGTGTGTTTGTACACACACACATATTAACAAAACTGGTAGCATAACACAAATTTTTCTCTTATTTCATCATATGCATTTCTCCCATCATTATATATCCTTCTAAAACATGCTAGTGTAAGAACACGCTATGAATATGCTCTTATTGGTTATTTTTCTGGTATTACAACACTTAAATGCACATCTGTAGAAAAGGCTTCGTACATAGCTCTGATTATTTCCTTAGACAATTCCTTTAAGTGTATTGTTGGGTGGCTCAAAGATTAGGAACATTTTTAAGACTCTTGAAAAGACTGCCAAAATTCCCTCTAGAAAGGGTACACCACTTTATGAACTCTAACCAAAGAGATGGGAGTGCCCCACCTCTCCATACAGTTCCTGACCTTACAACAGAGCCATACTTTTATAGAGCTTGATAAAAAAACACGGTATACTTTACCATATCTATCCAAGTTTAAAATATAAAACAGTTTAAGGCAGTTAATATTAGTATGTATCTGTGTATTACAGATATATATAGGAAATATAAATGTTATGGGGAAGGAATAAAATAGAAGTACTGAGATTAAAAACACCTTAGAGATCATCTAACTAAACAAAGTGAAAAAAGGAATACCTCCTTTCCCCCCCATCCCCAGATTTCTCAATCATACTCAGCAAGCTCAGCACAGGATCCAAGTTTTCCAATTCTTACATCTTAGAACTATCCAAGAAGTAGGTCAAGAATTTAGTACCCTCATTAATAAAATGGAGAAGTTTAATCATGGGCTCTTTAAAGCCCTTATAAAATTCTATGACTTTTACAATTTAGGTTGTAACAGATTTCCCAGCAAAGGGGAAAGAACATTGAACCTGCTTCTAAATACCTAGGTTTATCAGGGGTGGGGAACATCTGGCCCGGGAGCCATATAAGGCCAGAAAAATCATTTGGTCTGGTCCTGCCAAGGCATTAGGGGTGGGTTAATTAAATGTTTGACCAAATATAACAAGCTAATTTTAAACTGATAATTTTTGTATGGCCCACGAATGATGTTATAAATATCCAAATGTCCCTTGGCAGAAAAAAGCTTCCCTACCTCTGGTTTAACTACCTGTTTTACCCTTCACAGAGTAAGGATTTTTATAGTATCTCCATAATGTTCTTGGAAAGATTAAGTGACAATCTTGTAAACTGCTAAACTATATAAAAATAGAAGTTTAATTACATATGTTTACAAACACTGTAAATACATTTAAAGCATTATGTTCGAGCATGAGTGTATTACCCAAGAATGTTCCTAAAATAGAGCTGGACTCTTAAACTGTAATTTCAAGGGAGAACATAGAAAGTATTACATAGGATAACAGCTACAAAACAATATCATGGAAATGGGCATATCTGAACAAAAGCTGTAGCAGAAGTAAGGCAAGGTAACCAACCTATCATAAATGTAGAAAATGAAGAGAATAATCTGGTACGTTACGGAAAGACTTAGCAGGGAGGTTTAGTACATCAGCTGGTGCAAAAAAGGATGGTATTTTTAGAGAAAGATGGGAAAGCCTGAAGAAATGTATCTTCTCATTGTGCAAGGTAAGTACAGCCTGTTCATCAACAGCTACATCAAATTCTACCAAAGGGCGTGCCTATGTAAATAAAATTCTGCTTTTAAAATACCTATTATATAGTCAGAAAATTCAAGCTCTGTTGTACAAGCTCTAGCAGCATGGCGTAGAAGGAAAAAAACCTTATAAAAAAGCAAAATGCTGCTGAAGCCTCCCTTTTCCACTGCAAAATAAACGTCTGGGTTATAACACATTTCAGGTAATTGCCACATAAAGAATTTCCAAATCTGGAATCTTTTTTTTTTTAGGTTTGATAAAATATTTAAAGACAAAAGTCACCCATGAGGGTACATCTTACGCAATTTTAAAAGGTTCTGGGCCTAAAGAAAATGGGAGTTTTTCTTTATTTTTATTTTTTTAATGTAGAGAAATGTATTGCTGTTTACCT